AAAAAAAAAAAAAAAAAAAAAAAAAAAAAAAAAAAAAAAGATTGTGATAGTAGTTATGGATTTTTTTTCTTATATCAGGATGTTGGGTTTTTTCTTTCTTTTTTACTGTTTTATTTTTTTGTCAATCGAGTTCTTCATTTACGGTCTTCTATAAAGTTCACTCCTGCTGCTTCTCTAAAGGTTTATCTGAACGTGAGAAACTGCAAGCCTTAGCTTCTGCTTTGAAAGTTTTGATTAATTGCATATTTTACTTCCAGAACATACTCTAAGGTGTGGCCTTGAAGTTCCCTACCTGTACAACTTTTAAGTCTGTGGCAAGAATGGGTGACCAGAGAATAGTAGGTGCCTAGTTGATCAAGCAATAAGTCCCATCAGAAAAAAGGCCTTATATGAGAGGCTACATGTCATGTCGAAGGATTAACCTTAAGTTAGAAGATATTTGTGTAATTTATGAGTTAGTATCCAAGCTGAGAATAAATGATATCTATTACTTTGCTTGAGTAGGAGTGTCGAAGGATATTTGTGTAGCAGTTGACCTCGTTATTTGTCTTATTGATTTATTTAGATTTACTTACCTAATGTCTAGGGATTATTATTTAGATTTAGCTACCTAATATCTAGGAATTTATCTAGGAATTTATTTAGACATATGGTTACCTAGTATCTAGGGTATTTAGACACACAATTCTCTAGAAATTAATAAGAAAAACAACAAGCTAATTTAGACTTCCAACACTGCATGTTGCTAGCATTCGTTAGGTCTACCTCTTGACTAGAGCCTATTTTTGTAGTTTCCTTTCATTTTTGTGAGCTTCTTTTGTGTGCACTCTTGTACCTCTTTCATTGATTCTCTATAAAAGCTTTGTTATTCATCAAAAAGAAAAAAAAAAAAAAGTCTCGTCATAGACGGCTATATATAGCTGACATGGGAGAAAAAAAGGCTATAGTTGTTACGTTTAAGTTATTTTGATGAATGGTTGGCTTTTTATTTGTTCCTAAGTATTTTAATTTTTAAACTTCTGATTCAGGTAGGATCCTTTGCTGCATTTGTTGTGAGACATAGAAAACTGGTCGGTAGAGGCAACGAAGATCTGCAGCACATTGCTCATATAATAATCTTAAATATGGTGTGTTTTCCAATTTCCTTTTCTTTTGTCAGATTATTATTATTAATTTTTTTATGGTTTTCAAATTATCATGTTATGGTAAGAATAGTGAAAATAAACTATCACATGGTCGTTCAGAATACTGATCAGTGTACCTGATAAGTTTACTTCTACCATGGGGATCGGTTGGCAACCTTTACGTGAACCTGGAATTGCATCTATAATTACTATTCTGTAACGTTAATCTGTTAGTTTCTATTTAACTTCTTGTGTCTGTTATTAGGAGAATAATTTCCATGATCATTTGGCTTGCAGGCTATTGGGATAATGTCTAGAGGCATCGATAACTGGGGACATGTAAGTTTGAGAGTAGACAATATTTATTCATTTATTTATTTCTCCATTGAAGACTACTATACTGTTACTGTTTGTCAATAAATGAAAACTTTATTTTTTTTTTTTTTTAGTTAGATGGAATTAGACAATGCCTGGTTGTCATAAAGATTGCTTGATATTGTTTAACCATTGGTAAACTGCCTCAGCATCTCGTGCAAAACCTGAGTCTGGAAATGTTCAATAATTGGAGGCTGAGAAGCTTTAGACCTCATTCATTCAATTGCTTCATTTGGTTTCAGTCATACCTCATTCATTCAATAGTTCTAACCCAAAGCCCAAAAGATGCTGAAATAAAAGAGTGAGTAGAACCTAACTAAAAAGGCAAGTGTATTGATAGTGTACCTATCACCACTGCGTTAATTTTAACGCATCTCGGCTAGTGGTATTGCGTGCTCTCCCCTGCTGGCAAGTTTGGGTAGAAGCCCTGACACCACTCAAACTTGAGGGTTGATTCCCACCTCCCTCATGGTCCTTTGAGGGTAATTATTTGCCATGTGACCCTCTTGGCCACATCTAAAATACGCACCTGAGCATGTCAAACATCGACCCCAACGATATCTACCACTATTAGTTCATGGGAAAACCTCACGAAAGAGTTAGAGAACTCAGTTCTCCTTTGAAAATGTCGAATTCATAGCGATGCAAAAATTGGGAAAACTTAAAACACACTGGGGAATTAAGGATATGTCAAGCAATTCTCTGCTTTGATGCTGGATATCAAGGATATGTCAGAGAAGGACAAAGTGTTCAGCTTTGTCGAGGAAATGCAACCATAGGCAAGAACAAAATTTATGAACACAATGATCAAGATCTTGTCGTTGCATTTGCTGCCGTAGAGAGACTCTTGAACTTTGTTGGTGAAGCGGGCTTTCAAAGGAAACATACACCATCCCAAAACATCGAGAATAGACCTTTCAAACCTATGGGTTAGAGGAATGATAGCACAAACAAACCTATGGGTTAAAGGAATGATAGCACAAACAAGGAACTATCAAATAACTTATTTACAAGCCTTAAGTACAAGGAGGTAATGACCCAAAAGCCAAACTAGTGGTAGAAAAGGAAGAGGACCACGACACTCTAAGAATGGGAGTGTTGAAATTTTTATCAACCATGTTAAAGAAAGTTGATCCAAAAGAAGTATTCGAGAAGGGATTGATGTTCGATGCAATAATCCATTCTTGGCCTAGTAAGAGCACTTTAGTGGACTCAGGTGCGACTCACAATTTCATCTCCGACTAAGAAGCCTGTAGATCGGAACTCAAGATAGAAAGAGACTCTGGCAAAATGAAATCTCTTAACTTAGAGGCCCTACCCATCATGAGTATCCAAGAGAGTCTCTTTTAAGGTTGGGAGATTGGTCAGGAGAGATGGTTCTCGTCGTGATTCTTATGGATGACTTCGAAGTCGTCCCAATGCCACTAGCGAAGTGCGTAGTAATTACCAATTACAATCCCACAGCGATCTTTGCAAGCATCAAATAATCGAGTAGATAAAAATGATTTTCGTATTCCAATCAAACAAAGGGCTCTTCTAAGAAGCGCCCACATTCATGGCCATATCGATGGTAAAAGATGTAACAAATACAAAACCTGTCCCAAGTGAAATCAAAGATGTCTTGCACAACTATGTCGATATAATGCAAGATAGCTTACCAAAGACGTTGCCCTCTCGTCATGACATTGATCACGAAAGTGAGCTCCTACCAAGGGTCAAACCCCAGCAAAAAATGCATATTAGATGACTTCTAAAAATGTTTGATTAATCCACCACACCTAAATGGTGTGAAAGTTATCTTATTTATAATCAAATAAATTACAAGGATATGGAAAGAGTAATAGGTGGAAATAACAATAAATGGAAAGATACTTATAGTAATAAGATAAATATTAGATATTTTCCTTGTAATAAAATATCAAATATAATATATATGGTAAACTATAATTTATAACTAAATATCCTAAACACCCTAGATATTTTCTTTATAATAAAATATCAAATATAATATATATGGTAAACTATAATTTATAACTAAATATCCTTGACACCCCACCGCAAGCTAAGCGTCAGATTTAAACGAACGTGAAGCTTGAATCTAAAAAATTCAAAGAGGTTGAGAAACACTTTTCGTGAAGATGTCAACCTGTTTCAGAGGAGGCGCTTTCTTGGCCATCGAAAATTGCAAAGGGATCGCCGCTTAGCGGCGATGCAGCCTTGGCTTCGGTGAGAATATGTCTAATCCATGAAGAGGGATTGTGTCGATTAGCGACGATGCTGTCTTGGCTCTGGTGAGAATATGTCTAACCCCAAGAAGTGGAAGGGGAAACCTAGAGCAAGGGACAAAAAACAATGTTGAAGCCGGAAGAGTCACCACATTGGGCAAAGGAGCCAATTTTCGCGAGAAGGGCTGTCGGAAGAGTCGCCACATTGGGCGAAGGAGCCAATTTTGGCAGGAAGGGCGGCGGCAACTTGGTCGTCAAAGAGGCCAGTGCGGCACCCAGATTCCGAAGGTAAATCTCTACAAAAGGTTGATGGGCTTGTCGAGATTCCGTATATTTCTAAAGAGAAGAAGATCTTGAGATTAGGGCTTCTGTGAAAGATAAAAGGTTGATTGGGAAGAAAATAAGAGAGACTATATTGGCCAAGGGGAAAACCGATTGGGTTGGAAAAGATGAGGTTGTATGTACAAAGTATGACGAAAGGTGATTTGGAGGTCAATAGGGTGGAGCCGAAGAGTAATCAATCGGCTCCGCCTGCGGCAGCCATGAAGACTGCCCCTGCGGCGTCAAAGCCAACAGGGGTGGTGGAGAAGAAGATTAGAGGATTCAAAAGCCATTGAAAAGAAAGGATCGGGGTTGTTAAACCGAGAGGGCTCTGATACCATAAGAATGTTTGATTAATCCACCACACCTAAATTGTGTGAAAGTTATCTTATTTATAATCAAATAAATTACAAGGATATGGAAAGAGTAATAAATGGAAAGATACCTATAGTAATAAGGAAAATATTAGATATTTGCTATTATATTGGTAAACTATAATTTATAACTAAATATCCTTAACAGCTTCACCAGCTACAGTCAAACTAAGAAAGCAATTAGACTAGTTATTGACTGCCGTGTTTAGTTTCCCCATAAAGGTGTCATATGGGTTCATTGTTACTTCATAAGGAGAAAAATGGGACAGTGCATCGACTATAGAGCTTAAAACAAGGTGACAGTACGTAACAAGTATCCCCTGCCAATAATATCTAGCATGTTTGACCAACTTTATGGGACTAAATACTTTCACAAACCTGAACTTGCAATCAGGATATTACCACAAATCATAAACCCCCAAGTTTATGATGTCTTCTATGTTGTTAGTTTTTCATTCTGAGTTGTCTAGTCATACAATTTACATTAATGAGAAAGAGAAAAAGAAAAAAAAAGTGAGTAATGAGAGAAAGATCTGAGATTCAGCATGCAATACAACCGGCCAGTTTGATAATTTCACCTTTGTAATGACGTAAGCAAAAGATTAACATTTTATTCCCTCTTGTTGACAGTGAATTATCTTAATATAAAATCTAGTTATATTTTTTAGCTGAATGAAAAATAAAATAACCATTTTTTTTTTTTTTTTTAGTACGAGATGAGAACTTGAACCTCAAATCTCGAAAAAACAAGTGATGTTTTAGTTGTTGAGTTATGCTATAATGGAGATCGGTGCAAGTCTAAATTAGTTTGCTGTTTTTCAGAGAGTATATGTGCCTTTTATACTAAAGAAAGGCTATCTCAATACAACTCAATTCTTAGATGCTAGGTAACCATAAATCTAACTGAATCTCTAGAGTACTAATAAATCTAACTCAAGTCATAGATACTCGGTAATAACAAATCTAAATAAATTCATCCCTAAATAGAGATAAATGGGGGAGATCAACTACTTTACTTATTTACACAAATATCTCTTGACTTTTAATCCTTCAACATTTCCCCTCAAGTTGAGTAATAGATATCATTCATTCTCAGCTTGAATACTAGCTTATGAAATAGTAAGCTATGAAATCTTTTTGTTGGCACATTTGTCTCTATTGAAGTCGTGAAAGCACAAAACTCATACATACTATCCCCTTGGAGCACTTCTACAAGCATTGCTTGCTTATCTCATGCTCACTCTCTTGAAGTACTTCCACAAGCATTGCTCGCTTTTCTCGTTCTCACTTTCTTAGAGCACTTCCATGGGCGTTTCTCGCCTCTCTGGTGCTCACTTTTCTTGGAGAACTTCCACAGATGTTATGCCTTTCGTGCTCACTCCTCTTAGAACACTTCTAGGAGTGTTGCTTCCCTCTCTCGTACTCACTCCTCTTAGAACACTTTTACGAGCGTTGCTCACCTCTCTCATGCTCACTTTTCTTGGAACACTTTCACTGACGTTACTTCCACGAGCCTTGCTTTCGTCTTTCGTACTCACTCCTCTTGGAGCACTTTCACGAGTTTTGCTTGCCTCCCTCGTGCTCACTCTTCTTGGGTTGGGTTAGGTCTTGGAGACAATATATGCTAACTTAGGCTAATCCTTGGATAGAGAAAATAAAATAATATACAATATGTCTCTTTTTTTAACAAATAATTCAGTTTTTTTTTTCTTCTTTTTTTTTTTTTTAATATGACTTGTTACTTCTTATTTTATTATTTTATAAAATTGAAAATATGCTGCTACAAAAGCAATGTAAATTTTTACACATTATTTTGTACTTTTCGCTCTAGTTGAGGAAAAGAGTATAATAGGCGGGTTTATATGGGTGCATGTGGAACATAGCTTAGAATGGAGTATGATTATGCAGGAAAAATTGCATTTGAAGTACCTGCAGTTTCCCTTGTTATCTGTTGACTTGACCGCTTGTGATTTATTTGAAATGAATATTTTCTTCTGAGAAATTTTCAAGTCAACTAATTACATGATGGAAATATTGGTAACATTACTAATATTATTGGGATATGAGCAAGGGTAGAGTGGTAATTAGCTAAGCAGTTTAGTGGAGGAAATGAGATTATATTTTGAGTGGTCCATCCAAAGTGGGTGGATTATGGGAGAGAGATAGCCCTCTCCAAAGGCTTTTGTTATATTGTAATCTATTCTTTGATGTTGCAAGATTTTTTAGTGTGTTTTCTTATATTCAGGTACCTAATACAGCTTTAGAAAAGAGAATAATTATGCAGGAAAAACTGCATTTATACCTGCAATTTCCGTTGGTATCTATTGACTTGACCTTTTTATTTGTTTGGGTTGAATACTTTCTTCTGAGAGGACTTGCTTCCAAGTCAATCAATTGGAAGACGGAAATTTCTTTTAAGATAGTTGTAACCGCTCAAATCCACTGCTAGCAGATATTGTCATTTTTGAGCTTTTCCTCTCAGACTTCTTCTTAATGTTTTTAAAATGCGTCTGCTAGGGAGAGATTTCCACCCTCTTATAAAGAATGATTTGTTTCCCTCTCCAACCGATCTCCAACCGATGTGGGATTTCATAATTCACCCCCCTTTGAGGCTCAGCATCTTCGCTAGCACTAGTTATCTCAAAATCCACCCCTTTTGGTGCCCTGAGTCATTGCTGGTATTCGTTCTTCTCTTCAGTCGATGTGGGATCTCACAATCCACTCCCTTCGGGGCCCAGCGTCCTTATTGGCATTTGTTTTTCTCTCAAATCGATGTGAGATCTCACAATCCACCTCCCATCGGCACCCAGCGTCCTTGTTGGCATTCGTTATTCTCTCCAATCAATGTGGGATCTCACAATCCATCCCTTTTAGGGTCCAGCGTCCTTGCTGACAAACCACCCAGTGTCCACCCTCCTTCGAGGCTCAGCGTCCTCGCTGGCACACCGCCCGGTGTCTACGCCAGCAAGAACACTGGGCCGTTATTGCAGTTACTCTGGTAATAAAATCACAATGAGGGGGAGGATATTTGGATGTGCCTTTTTCAATATCTTTAAAAGTCTTAAGATCTGAATTTTTTCAGGAATTGTGCAGCATAAACTTGAAGGAGTAAATGCAAAATTTACTTTTGTACTATTAGCTTGTTATATATCTTCTTTCATTTCGATCATTTATCCTCCTAAGCTTATGAAATTGTCACCATTTTAACTTCGTTAATTATACTTTGAACTAAAGAGGTAAGATGAAACCTTTAAAATAGTTACAATGATGTTCCAATAAAATCTCTTGTTTTAAATAAGCCTAACCATTTCCATATGAAACCTCTTATTAAGTATTGGAGCATGCAATTATTGGAGTGATTTGTGCAGTCATTTCTAAATTTAATTGATCCGAGTAAAATGTGAATTATTATGGATTCAAACTTTTCTTCATTTCAAGCCTTAAACTGTCAAATGTTGCAAAGATGGTTGTATGTGAAATGTTGTTGTGGTGCTGATTTTCTTCCTTTGATATGTCAGCTTGGAGGATTTCTAGGTGGGGTAGCGGCATCGTGGCTTCTTGGGCCTGCCTGGAAGCAGGAACCTTCTTTCAACAATGGCCGAAGAACATTTACAGACAGGGCTCCAATTTTTTACCTCATCAATTGGAGAAAAAGAACCTAGATGAGGTTAGTATCATTTTCTCAGCATTTGAATGTCTTGTATCTCTTGGAAAATTGCATTCTCTGTAAGCTTTTTGGTCAATATAAATGGGGGGAAAAATTGTAGAAGCATCAAGTTCTAGTTGCGAAGAATGTGCATGTACAGATGTACTCCTAATATTAGCCTTGCAAGGTCTACTTTTCTATAGTTTTAGGCCATAGAAACTGAAGTCGGTGTATATTTTGATTTGAAAAATGGTTGTGTCCCAGCAACGAATTTGATCATTTTGGCTCAATAGGGGTGTTTTATGACCCGATAATTTGACTAATTTAGACTATTTAATCCAATTCAATTGGATGGTGTTAGATTTGTTTTTGCCTATTGAGTTGGGTTAAATTTTTAAAAACTAAAAATTTGGTTTGGTTTGCAAATTGACATTTTTTTTACTGGGTCAATTCAACCGATTCAAAAGTAGGGTTACAATTCAACTTAACTTATCATTTAAAAAAATATGGTTACAATTCAAATCTTATCATTTAAAAAAAATTAAGATTATTCAACCTTAGTGATGTATTGTGATGTGTTATAACTTGTAAATATTTGATATTAAAATTTATGAAATTTTAATTATTAATGTAACATGTATGGTGGGATAAGTAGAATATTTTTAATAATTAAAAAAATTAAAAAAAAAACAACCCGACAACTCAACTTAACTTGAAAAATATAAGGTTGTAAACTCTATTGGGATTGCTCCGGTGATTGGTATTTAGATAATTATTTGGTATTTAAAAATGAAGTATAAAACTTAAATGTTTATCCTTATGAGATGTATACTATTTTTCTCAAAAAAAAAAAAAAAATTGAAAAGTTAACATATTTGGATAGAGGAATCTCTCTCCTAAAGTTTTTTTTTTTTTACGCAATATCTACCCCTCAAAATTGTGAATAGATATGAAAATATTATTACTAAATAATACAGATTTAAGAATAAGAAATAAAATTGAGATTGAAAATATTCACAATCTTTAAATAGATACTATCTTCGGAATAAATAAAGTATACTACTATTCAAATTTAACGAATATGTAAGATATATTCCCTAACTAATATATTGTTCAAGATTATGAATATCATAGGTTCCTCTTACATATTCCCTATCTAATATATTCTTCAAGATTACGAATATCATATGTTCCATAACTAATTCAAATTAGAAATAAGTTGCATTAAATTCTGAAAAATTTTCGCTTCTTTAATTTGTTTCGTCATATTTCAAGTTTTGCCTAAAAAATTAAATGAATAATGGTCAAATTCCCAAAGCGTTCTTGTTTTTATAAAAAGATTTTTTTTATCATATTTTCATAACTCGTCCATGTCAGTCTACATCGTAATCTATACTTCAAGCAACTCAAAAATTAAAATGATACACATCTAATAGTCTCCTTGTAACTGCATGACTGGTAGGCTATCAGTGACTTCTCCCCTGATCCATGTTTCTTAATGTTAGACGAATACAACTCTCCACAATGGTATGATATTGTCCACTTTGAGCATAAGCTCTCATGGCTTTGTTTTGGGCTTTCCAAAAAGCCTCATACCAATGGAGTTAGTATTCCTCACTTATAAACCCATGATCATTCCCTAAATTATCCGATGTGGGACTTTCATTATCCAACACTTAAGACTATGCATTCTATTTGGGCTGAGTTAGTCAATTCCATGGCTGGAGTAAATTTAGCCTCTCATAACGATAAGTTCATTTAACCACTTTCTACGGGTGTAAGTCACTCATCAAGGTTTACTCGAGGTTCTAGGTGCAATTAAAGCATTGGTTCCTATTCTCTTTGGTCCTTATAAATCATTACACTATCTAGTATAATTCGGGGTGCTCTCTCAGTCACGGGCTCTAGAGAAGATCTAATATAACAGCCCAAATCCATTGCTAGTAGATATTGTTCGTTTGGACATGTTACGTATCGTCGTCAACCTCATGATTTTAAGATGCGTCCGCTAGGGAGAGGTTTCCACACCCTTATAAAGAATATTTTATTCTCCTCTCCAACCAATATGAGATCTCACAATGCACCCCTTTCGGAGCCCAGCATTCTCATTGACACTCATTCCCTTCTCCAACCGATGTGGGATCTCACAATTCATCCCCTTTCGGGGCCTAGCGTTCTCGCTAGCACACCGCTCGGTGTCTATCTTTGATACTATTAAAAAAATGTTAAAAGAAGAAAACAATTTAACTTGAGGGAAGTGGAAAAGTTGAAAATTAAGGTTCAATTAAGTATTCGAGGTTTTCTAGCATTAACATTGGTACCTTAGCATTTTCAATTGAGCGCACTAGCTTTGATAAGAGGACATGATCCGATCATGTGACTATTTATTGAATATAAGGAACTGATCAAGGTATGCCTGAAGATGGTTTCGATGAACGACATATTAAAGTTTGGATGAAACTGCAAGTTAAGTCTAGGTTTCATCGAACCATTGTAAAACTTAAAGAAATAGTTTGACAGAAGTATGAACTTGAAATTAATGTCATGCGCTGACATGTCGACTTGGATTTCAAATGAAAAAAATCAAAACACCAGCTTGCTTGCCTACATTAAGATTGAAATCTTGTTGTGAAAAGACAATCAATCAAATGGAAATAGTGAATCAAGATCTAGATGGATCCCTATCTTTATCTCTATCTACGGGGATACCGCTACATATGGATAGAAATCGATCTAGACGAGACTCGAAACGGATAGATATGTCATGTAAGTGACCTTACCGTTGGAGTTAGGTATTTGAATGATGTATGATAATTTATGTCTATGGCCCCTGCATGCACCATATTGTTTGTGCTATTTGTATATGTTTATGTAATGGCATATGATGCTAGCATATGTATGCATGTGATATTCATTACGCCATGTAGTAAATGAAATGAATTACTATATACGTCATGTTATGTATTGCCATGTAAAGTTATGTGATGGATCATATGATGACTGTCATGTAAAATGATCATATATGTACGATGTCATTGATGAAAGAAAAAATGAAATGATGTTAATGTTCTGCTATGAATGAAAAACATGGGGACTTCATGCATGAATGCACATATGTACGATGTCATGACTTGATTTGAGCTACTCGAAGCACGAATCATGACATAGACCCCACGGATGGGATAAAAATAAAAATAAAAAAATCGCTTTTAAAAATAATGAAACTCAAAATAAAAATAAAACATAAAACATACATAAAGTTTATACATATATATTTACTTTACAAAATATAAGTTTTAGTTCAAAATACAAAAAGGGAAACAATATACAAAATACGGGACCAAGACAAAAGACACAAGATCGAAGGAGACTCCTAAACATAGGTTGTCTCTATGACCGTCTACTTCAGATCGCTCCCTTCCTTAACTAGCATCTAGTCATTACCCAAAAAGGTATAAAGAACTAGAATGAGTATAAAATACTCAGTAAGTAGCGTGTTTATAGGCTCTTGATCATGTACACGGCTGAAGCTAAGGTACAACATTCTAATTCTAATCATAAGACATTATACATGCGGGTTTTGTCTGGACTCTAGATTTTGAGGCTTTGATCAATAGACTGCCTAAGCCCAAACTTATGTGCTTATGTAGTCCCTCACCCTAGGATAGGTTTAAGGAGAGTGAATTTCATTAGGTTGTCTACTTCATTTTTCACACACAATATGTAGTACTAGTCTTGATCTTGAGGTTACTAGATCACATGGTCGGTAAACATCATGAACCTAAAAAAAAAACCTATGTTTGAATTCGACTCATAACAATCTTTACATTTCTCATCCATTATAATACAGTTTGAGTCTGACATCCTACAAAACTGAGTATGGCATCCCACCAACTAAGGTTATAGTGTACTGCATATGTGGGAGGCAACTTATGACACAAAGCAAATTTGAATCTCTTACCTAGAATGGTACCTAGCTATCTAGGCGTCATATTAGGCTTAGTGTCATGATTATGCATTTTTTGGGCCTTGACTTACTTGGTTAGTCTACTCATAGAGCTAAAAGTCATAGATTCATAATTTTTTACTCCAACTAGTCCATCGTGGAGAGTTATGAACACATTCTAATGTTGTACATACGTGTTATTCTCATGCTTAACCTTCTTAAAACCATGCCTAAATTATTTACAATATCATAAATAGGTGTTAGGTAAAATTTCATTATCATTCGGAGTTCATTAAGACCATAAAATATCATAGAAGGTATAATATGGGCATTTTCGTCATTTTTAACTTTATCGTCGATTTATACCCTAAACATGCTCCTATAACCTTCCAATTAAGCACCCATCATGAATTCATAGTATAAGATCATATTTTACGATGTCATGTACTGTAAAGTTCATTTAGTGGATCAATTTTATAATTTACTTGGTTTTAGACCTTAATAGGTAACTACTTGTCACAATTGCACTTTGATGGCAGCGGACTTACGATTGTGCGACATTCACTTCCTAGCAACAAGTGAGTTAAGTCTATTCGTTCTAGAGTCGCCTACAACCAAGCAACGTATACTCGAGAAGCTCTGGCCTCAGTTGAAGAAGAAAGTTTTAGAAAACGGGGTAGAGAGTTCTGAGAGTAATATTTAAGAAATTGAAATTAGTGTTATATGGGAATGTAAGCAAAAAGCAACAATATCGGCTTATTACATATAACTATTGGGTAGGGAGAAGTTGACAACTTGTCACAATCGCATTTTGGTGGCAGCGGACTTGCGATTGTGCGGCATTCACTTTCTAGTAACAAGTGAGTTAAGCCTATTCGTTCTTGCATCGCCTACGACTAGGCGATGTCTGCTTGAGTCTCTGTCCTCGATTCAAGAAGAAATTTTTAGAAAACGGGGTAGAGAAATTTCAAAAGAGAGTTTTGAAAGCAAGATTTGAGAAATTGAAATTGATATTATATGAGAATGTAAGCAAAAAGACAACAATGACTTACTCCATATAACTATCGGGTAGGGAGAAGTTGACAACCGTAAATCGTCTAATTAAGGTTCTTAACATGTGGTTCTTGTCATAATTTTACTATATCCTCTTAATACTACCCAGTGATTTCTACCCATAATTCTTGAGAGAAGAAATGACTACTTACTGATTCTATCGCGCGTTCAGGGACTCGGTTCAAGTTCTTCCCAAACTCAAATTTTCTTAAGTAGGTCCCATTTTGTGTTAGATTTTAAAATCCATTAAAATTTAAGTGAGATCTTATTATTAAGAGAG